TTGTCCAGTGCCGACCCGGCCAGGCTCCTCCCATCCCCAGCAGCACGTGGGAATCCAGCTTCAGCTGCATGCTTCTCCAGATGGGATATACCCACCTGGGTCGGCACCAGCCAGCAGAAGTGGCGGCAAAGCCATGTGCTGCTCAGGATTGACCAGCACAGGTAGGGGGAAAGTGCAGCTGAGCCCCTGCTGCTCCAGCTGGGCTCATCCCATCCCAAGTGGCACACGGCTACTCGTCTTCCTACACACACCACGTCGGCAATGTCAAGCTGACGCGGTGTGTGTGGGAACCTTGTCCCTTCCCCAGCCCTTCAGCAGCCATTAGGAATCTACTGAGGGGCTGCGGGAGGGACAAAGGGTGGGAATGAAAGTAAACAGTGTTTACTTTCATTTCCCGTCGCAGCACCTTGGGCCTCAGAAAATGGCTTTTGGGCCACATGGCAGCCCGCGGGCCCTATGTTGGACAAGCCTGTACTAGATGACCTCCTGAGATCCCTTCTAACCCTAATTTTCTATGATTCTATAAATGGGTGATCAATGAAGTGTAGGGCATTGACCTCCTGTTTTCAACCCTGGAATGTATCATGTCTTCTGCAGAAGCTAAAACAGCAATTGCAAAATAATCAGTGATATGTTTTGAAGGTGCGTCTCAGAGCAGGAGCTCAAAAGGTAACAAAATATTGGTCTCAAATATTTCTTTATTACCTTATCTCTGTTCTTGCTGATGCTGCTTAGATAACAGGCAGGCCTGGAGTCTGCCCCTCTGGAATATAACCTTTTTCAGGGACCAAAAAGGGTGATAAGCATAAAAGAAGTCCAGCACTTATGGCTCGCTGAACCCATTTCTGGAAAAATAATGGTGAAACTGGCAGATCTGAGGAACCTTAGAAGGTTTGAACTTTACAAGCTGTTAAGAATTCTCATTGATGCAATTGTAAACAAACCAAGCTGGAAAAAAGAGCTAGTTCCTCTTCTCTGACTAGCCGGCATGAACAGCACGTGCCCCCAGTGGTTGGGGGGGCACAGCGGTGGCAGGAGTGAATCAGCTGCAAGAGCCCGGCACCGATAAGCAGGGGAGCTCCTGCAGCCGCTGCCAGCGCTGTCGACAGCAGGGGGGTGAGTGCTGACCAAGGGGAGGCAACCACCCACAGCTGCCGCCAGCAGCAGCAGCAGCGGCCAGTGGGAACCATGGGCTGCCTGCAGCCGCCACCAGCCTTTTTGCAGGCGGTGCACCACCACGCTCAGGGGGTGCACATGCACCTGCATGCACCCCGTACACGTCACCCCTGCTAGCCAGTGCTCAACCCTCTTGCATAATTACCAGACACAACAATGAAGGACATCAAAAACACCCTACCTCACCACTGGTAGAGCAGGGGAATGAAGGCATGTCAGTGTCCAGGCATTGCAAGGGCAGGAAGCAGTTGTTAAATGATGCTCAAGAGATCCAATAAAAAGTACCACCTTCCTCCCCCACACTGCCCCTAGAGGAAGGCTAGAACTCACACACGGTCCCTGCCAATCTGACCATCGGGTAAAATTCATTACAATCCCAAACGTGGCAATTGGTCTCACACTGAGTGGCAGAGCAAAACTCTCTAGCCAGAATCCTCTGGGTTAAGTCCAACATGAGTATCAGCATGCAGTCAATACCTAATGCTTCTAAGGTGAAAAAAACATGACACATTTACCAATAGGAGGGAAAAATTTCCTTCCCAGCCCAAAAGAAAAGTGGGATAACCAGATACACTCCCCTCTGCTCCACAAACTAGGGTCCACAACCACAACACCATGCATCACACTTGAGAGGAGAACCCTTGCTACTATTCTATTCCCACTCAGGTCACTTAATCTTCTTAAATATCTGGTTGTGGAGCCCTAATTCATTCTCCTACTCCTGAGCATCACTTTCCCCTATTTTCACCTGCTCTGAGGTACAGAGCTTTTCTCATGATCTCTGAGCAATACATGTGTGGAGTTTTTCTAGGCTTCCAACTGTTGTTCCTCACAGCACACACCAGACATTGCTACTCCTAAATCATCCCTGACCCATGCTTGTCCAGCTTCTTCTTGAGAACCTCCAATGATAGGGATCCCACAACTTCCCTAAGCAATCTATCCTGCCTGTGTTCTAACAATAGGATCACAGGAAAAGAGGCCTGAAAGAGACCCAGTAGTCCAACCCCCTGCTCAAGGCAGGATCATCCCTGACTAAATCATCCCAGCCAAATGTCACTCCACCCTGCTCTTGAAAATTTCCAGTGATGGAGATTCCATGATTTCTCTAGGTAACTTGTTCCAATGCTTGACCATTCTCATAGTCAGAAAGTTCCTCCTAATCTTCAACCTAAATTTCCCCTGCTACAAACTGAAGCCATTGTTCGTAGCCACAAAGAAAAGTACATATCCATGTTATCTGTAATTGCCTTTCAGATATTTGAAAATTGTTATCAAATCCCCCCTCAATCTTCTCTTTGCCAGACTAAATAACTTCTAGTTCTTTCAGCCTTTCCTTATAAATCTTGCTTCCCAAACCATTATTCATTTTTGTTGCTCTGCACCAAACTCTTTTCAATCTGTCCATCTCCTTCTTGAAGTGTGGGGCCCAAAACTAAATATGGTACTCCAAGTGAGGCCACAT